CCATTACTGCCCCAGCAGCGTGGGTGTGCATTGGTCCTAAGTAATTCTTTGTTGATCAGCTGATAGAGCCAAGGAAGAGTTCATGACACACATACAGCTCACGTTACCTATCAGTTTAAAGTCCTTCAGGAGATCCCATGCCTTTAGGACAAAACTCAGTTCATCAATTCTTTTCTAGTCTCACCTACATCTGGAAGCCTTACCATTCTATCTGAAATGGTTAGCAGTGCTCCTGGCAAGGTGTATGTATGCTAAGTGTAGTGGTTGAGGGTCCTTGCTGGAGCTGGATGTAATGTGGTCATCCCCCAAACCCAGCCATGGGGTTCTATAACCTGGAAGGGTCCACACTGACCACCTCTCTGCTGCGGTTTCCTCCTTGACATCATGGGGTCCATGCTACCTATTTGTTGTCATGAGAGTGTGTGACTGTATGTTGAACACATAGACCGGCACCCAGAACAAGCAATTCCTTCGTAACTGTTACCATGGAATTACAATCAAAACATGATGATATGATGCTGCCTTCTGCCTGCCACACGGTTCTTCACTTTGGCCTGACAAATGTGCCCTTTCTTTTGTCTTGGGCCCTACAGCATGATATCTCTGAAGCCATTGCAGATATGGGTTGGAAGCATTTGCAAGGGAGCTGGTGTGTGGTTTTAAAATCCAGGTTCTGCTCTTCCCTCTTTTACTCTTGAAGACTTATTTAAGTATAAAATTAGGATTAGGGTATGAGGTGGGAGGTAGGGCAGGGAGGCAGCAGAAAGGCATTGAGTGTGAAGGGAATTAACCCAAACTAAGTGTTATCAAATACCACAGGGAAACCTGTTACCTTGTGTGCTAATTAAAACATTAGAAATAAAAAGATAAAGTTAAAACTTAAAACAACAAAATATCTGCCTCATTAGAATTGTCAGGAAAAAAACTAGGTCATTTGTAAAACTGTATATTAAATTCTTCATTTGTCTTTGGTTTTGGTTTTCTTAGCAGCCTTTCTTAACTTTTTCAAGGACTTGCTGACTGTGATGGAAAAGCCTGTTCTCCCAGCACTTAAGAAATGGAGGCAGGAGGATTGGGAATTGAAGGTCATTCTTAGCTGCCTATCTAGTTTGAGGCCAGGCTGGACTACATAAGACCCTGTCACAAATGAACAAAACAAACAGAATTAGACAAGGTATTATCATAACTCCTTCATATGTTTCTTATGGCCTCTTGGGCAGGAAGTTAGTTAAAGACAAGGTCTTTCTCATTGTCCTGTTGGAAACACTGACACAACATCAGTCACTGAGCTCCAGCTTGGCTTGGCCAGTGCATGTGACCCTTGGCAGTCAATGCTAGAAGGTATCTTAGAGGCCTGTGATGGGGAGAGATGTTGTAAAGGAATCATTCCTGTCTTTATTTAGAAAAGACTGAAAGTTGAACTTTAACTGGTACCACAATGCTTTATTTGGCACCAGAAAAATAGGAATAAAAGCCTGGACCAGAGGACCAGGATCAGACAGCCAAGATACAGCCCAGTCTTTCCCACAGGACCAACTGCATCACCAAGTTTCTTCAACATGGGGTTCATTTATTGTTCAAGAACAACCTGCTGTAAAGCCCTGGCTGGTTACCATGGTAGAAATACTCGTCACAGTCTTTCAAGCTATTACTCTAATGTCAAGGAGCTGCCACAGTTCCTCACAGTGGCCCACCTGTCCATAACAAGCTGACTCCAGTGCACTCCTGTTTGGAATTCTTCTATCAGTTTTCCCTCCTGCATAATGGAAGTCCTGTCATCTCCAACTGTGAATAAGTGTGGAGCAGATCTGATAGACCCTAGAAATGTGGGTGCTGTAACAGTGCCCACGTACTCACCTGGATTCTGATATTCTTGGCCGGGGACACAGAGGTTCCCTTTTGGGGTTCTTGGTCTCATTAATAAAAGAATTTAAAAACAGACTCAGAAGGAGGCTCAAGGACAATTTATTAAATTTTATTCAAGTGTCAGAGGAAAATTACAGTATAGGTTAGGTGAAAATCCTGGCTATAGGAGAAAATATGGAGGAAAAATCAAGTTCTCTAGGTCAGACATGGAATATTTAAAGTTAAAAGCACTCCCAAAAATGGAAGAGTGTACCTCCCTGGACTGAGTCTACCAAGTTGATCACAGTCCTCGGGGGAGGACTTGTCCTGGAGGAGGTGGGAATGGAGGGTGGGCTGGGGGTAAGGGGAGGGAGTGGGAGGGGGGAGAATAGGGGAACCCATGGCTGATATGTAGAACTGAATGGTATTGTAAAATAAAAAATATATATCACAAAAAAAAAATGGAAGAGTGTAATGAGCTGAGAAAAGAGCCCCAATCATCCTGCCAGTACAGTGGCCCTGTGGTCCCTCCCTCTGCGTCTTGGTGCGTATCCTGCTTGCTGGATGATCCCGGGTCAAGCAGAGGCTTGTTGATTTCCTCCGAACACTGGCTTCTTCCATGTTAACCATGCAGCTGCTTCCTTCCATTCCCGATCCCTGCTCACAGCTCATACAGCCTCACCAGCGTTAGAGCTCGGATCCTCATACCTCTCAAAATGCAGCCATGGGGTTCTGCTTAGAGCTGTATATTTTGTTTGATTCTCCCCATCAGGCTTATGCTTTCTGCAACATACTGATTCAATTAGCCAATCATTCTGGGGTCCAATTGTGAGTCAATTCTTGGGTTGTTAAGCAGAATGAGTGGTGTTAGCCTGTACAGAAGGACTGTAATCCCCATCACGGTGTCTTTAGTTAACAGTATGCTCTAGAGACCAGAGTCCCATCCAAGAGTGAGGGGGCAGGAGGGGTCTCCAGGTTCGGCCACTGCTGTCATCCAGGTTCTGTGAGGAGCTGTCTGAGCTGGAGTTGGGCTTTGCTGAGTTAGAAACCCAGGGCCATTAGAGCATTAATTTCATGGCCAGGAATTCTTTTTTTTTTTTTTTTCTGAAATTAACACTCCATTCAAGCTGAATGCCATCTGATCCAGTTGAGTAAGCCTGAGGTATCTTTAGAGATTTCCTGCAGAGAAGAAATAACTTCAGCCAGACTATAGAAATAGCCAGCAGTTTTATGCCATTCCATGTTGTTTAGTACAAGGTCGAGGGTGCCAGCAAGGCCTTGGCTGTGTTTGTGGTCCAGGTGTTCACCCATTCAGAGTCTCACCTAGTGGGGGAGGGTGGTATGCAGAGCACTTAGCTTACCCTGCAGCCCTGCTCCAGACATGTGCTGAGAGGCTTTCCAGGGAGTATTGGTGCTGTGTAGAAAAGATGAAGCAGATACCAACAGCTGTCCTGAGACCCCTTGCGATGAGCCCACCACCCAGGACACAGAGCCCCTGCACAGTACTGTGAGCTGTGAGCACTGGCAAGGCCTTTGGATGCGGTCTCTAGTTGAAACGGTAGGAAAGATCCAGGCATAGTAGCTCATGCCTATGATCCTAGTACTTGGGAGGCTGAAGCAGGTGGATTACAAGTTTGAGGACAGCCTTGACTACATAGCAAGATCTTATTTCAAACATAAGACAAACCATACCACCTCCCCCAAAACCTAGAAGAAATTGGGCCTCTACAAAACTTCTAACTCCTGTAGTCCTGCTCAGCCCGGTGCAGGAAACTTGGGCTTGCTGGAATGCTAGATCAAGCTAAACAAATTATAGTTTCTCTTGTGGAAAGGTAGAATCAGCGCTGGGCATGTCAACAGCCAACAGAATGAGAGGCACATTGCTGGATAATTTACATCTCCACGGTCATTGTGTTCTCCTATAGAAACAGGACTGCTGTCTGCCTAGATGACCTCACAGGAGGCCACTTCTTATTCAGGGTTTCCCCAACAATATCTCCTGAAGATCCTAAAACAGCCCCATGGCAAAAACAAGCCCTGTCCCTCCCCGGAACAGTGATCCCATGGATTCCTTCACTTCTGTGTCTCTGCAACTCTACCACCACTCAGGGCTTCCTGATGAATCGTGCTTACCTCTGCAGAGCTCTGGGAATGCTGACAGCCACGTCTTGGCTAAGGGACCCTGCAGACAAGGCCAGCTACAGGCCGGCTGTGCCCACAGAGAGCCTCGCCCACCCCTCTTGACTTTCCCTTTACTCCCAGAAAAACCAGCTCGTTACTGGCATGGGACTAGGGACATCACTGTACCTGGGTTGGGGGATGAGAAAAGACTCAAGAGACAAAGATATGCATTTTTCAAGGCTCTAGAAATTATGGGAGCAGATGGGCTGTAGGATCCAATTGTGATGCCAGGAACATGTTTCTGTATAAAGTAAATATTTTCCCACTGTGGATCTCCGGTGAGCGTGTGGAGAAGCATATTTCCTAAAGATGCAAATAAGTCTAGTCAGAAATAAATATTGAATGGAAACTTCAAAGCCTCTAGATTTCTGCAGTTATAGACCCTGAAGACTTCTGTCCAAACAAGCAGACACACACAGGTAGACGAAGGCTTGGGGCGGGGCAGGTGGAAGGTTGAATAAAGGAAGGATACACCCATATCTTTGTGTTCTCTCTCGCGCGCGCGCTCTCGCTCTGTGGGGGGGGCAGGGTGAGGGAGAGAGCAAGCAAGCATAAAGAGGCATATTGACAAAGGAACTACTGTTATGTCTGGCCAAAGACTGTTTTTTTCTCTCTTCACATATATATTGTATTTGTCATAGACACATAATATATCATACATATTTATGGGCTATGGAGGTGACATTTCAATACATGTGCATATGCATGTGTAATGATTTGGCTAATTGGCATGTTCATTACCCCAGAAATGTATCATGTCATTGTAGTGTGAAATCCAGAATCCTCTCTACTAACGGTTTTGAAGTCACAATTAAGTGTCAGCAACCACAGTGGCCTCCTGTGCTGTGAAGCATGAGAGTTCAACCCTCTGACCAGCCATACTCTGAGTCTATTACCAGCATCTCCCCACACCCCTTCTTTCAGTTCAGAGGCCTGGAGTGTTTTCAGTGTACCAACGCTGCTTTCTGTTGCAGATCTCGCCTTGCAGATTTTTTTACCAACTGCCAGCCAGAGTCAAGGTCTGTTAGCAACTGTCTCAAGGAGAACTATGCAGACTGCCTCCTGGCCTACTCAGGACTGATTGGTAAGACCAGGGGAAGGGGCAGGGGGCTACTCTGGATTACAGACCTGTCTACTGTAGCAAGTGATGTCTGCACAAGAGACACCTTTGAAGATAAGTTGGAGAAAGGAAAAAGGGAAGGAGGGAGGGAGGGAATGGATGCAGGAGAAAGGAGAATTGGGGTAATTGTGGAGCAGGAAGGCCACAGATTCTAAAGGAAGGGAAGCATCTCCATTGGGGAACTGGCCACCTAGAACAGAAGCAGGGGAACAGGGCCACACAGAACATGGCCGTTGGAAGAAGAAAGCAATTAATTAACATAAACACAGTTAATTAAATAGGGGAACTTTGGAGAGCAGGAGCTTGGAAGTCATAAAAGCTGTTTCCAAGAAATGGCCCTTTGGAAGTGAGTTTCCCAATACCGTGGAGCTTCCTGCCATTATTGTTCTTGGTCACTTGACTCCGATGTGCAGGGGATTTTTTAAGGCTAATTTTTTTTTCTGTAACTAACCATTTGAAAGTAGAAACAGTATTTTTTAGTTTGGGAGGCCTGTGGCACTAGGAGAGCCATATTCTCAGTATTGAAGAGAATAGTGAAATTAAACAAGACCCCTGTGTATGGGGGAAAAGTCCAGAAAGAGGCAGACTTACATCTGGGGTGAACAGAGCTGGCAGGAAGACAGGCAGCTGTCCCCATGTACCAGGGATAGCCGAAGCTTCTCTGTCAGGACTCCATCACAGTTGGCATTTGAGAAGGAACATTGAAGAATGTGAAAGGCGAGAGAAATCACTGCTGTCATACAGCCCTGGCTCGGTGGCATCTCCCTGCCAGGGCCCATGTCAGAGTCGTACACATCGCCGGCAGGAACTAAACCCCCCACCCCCACTCCCCACCCCCGCATCTAGAATGAGAGCATAGGCTAACCTCGTCATCAGAATGTCTTCAGTGAGAGCCTTTGGTTTAAGTAAGAGAGTGTTTAGTGCGAAGCTATTTCTAGTTCTGACACCCCAGCCACTCCCAACTTCTGAAAAGATGCCTGTGCTCCCACGTGTAATGCCTCTAATAAAACTGTCACAGTTCCTCCAGGTATGCACCATTTCTGTGGCTCTGGCCGAGGAGTGTACACGCCCTCCGTATTCAAACTCTCCTTAATGAAGGTCTTAGTCCCTACCTGGGATTGCATATGAAATGATGGAATTGCAGAAATAACAAAAGCAATTAAGGCATGCTCACTTTTTAAAAAGGAAAAATAAAACCAGGGATGCTCCCAGAAGACAACGTTAAGTCTCTGCAGATGCAATCACTGTTAGCGCTTCAGTCTGTGTCCTTCCAGGAGTTCATGCTCATTAACTCCCCTGTGAGCAGCCAAGGAGAGGTACTGCCAGCATTTCTGTGAGATCATTCCTAGGCTTGGCAAAGCCTTTTGTGCCTGAGCATGATGAAATGGAAGGAACAAATGGTAGATGGAGTGTGTTGTGCAGGCCAAGAAATGTTTCTCCTGGGTCTGGGTCTCTTCTACGTGATTTCCTGAGCCTGTGTTGCCTATGGTGCCTAACTTCTGCACAAAGTTTGTTTCTGCCTTTCCATGTGTCAGGGATCCACTAGATTCAGAGGTGCATTGGTCTTGATTTCCTCATTCTGTACCAGTGCCTGATGAGTTAGACCTCCCTGTATGGTGCAGATTAAATGCTCATGCTAATAATGAGATTCAAGTTCAAAAAAGTAAGACCAGTAGGGCAATGACAATATGTCCTTGACCCCAGAAGAGCTTCCAAAAACTGGATTGCTGACCGATTTCTTCTTCCTTCATAAAAGCAACTAAAAACAGAAAGTTCTTGGCATCCATGGGCAGTGCCTGGTGTGAGCCACCCAGGAGAAGACATTTGGGTTGTATTAAATATAAATGCATTGTATATTTCTCCCAGTGGAGGACTCGCCGGGAAAGCCACAAGTCATAAGCAGGAAGGCCCACACAGCATCTCTGTGGGAACTGTTGTGGATCCATAGACAATACTTTAGAAGTCCTTGACTGGGGAAGTTTTATTGTTTCTTCCTTTTTATTCTTTTCTTTTATTCTTTCTTCTTCTTTTGATAGGGTCTCATGTAGCTAAGGATGACCTTGAACTCCTGATCCTCCTGCCTCCATCTCCCAAGTGCTGGGATTATAGGCATGCACCACCAAACCAGCTCATGGGGTGCTGGTGACTGAACTTCATGCAGGCTCGACAGGACAAGCATTCTACCAGCTGAACTACACCCCCAACCCCGTTTCCATTTCTTTCACACCTTAGATGAGTTTATTTAAATCAGTTGAGGATCTGGGAAAGGAAGCCTCTTTATATACATCTGTAGACATTCAGGCTCTGGGGACCTTATTGGAGGTGTCTGCGCTTCCCTGTGTTACCCTAAAGAAACCATTTGCCTCTGAGTAAACTGGATTAAAAGCCTTAAAAGAATTCTTAAGTTATGTGCACCCAGTACTATTTATGAAGATTAATGACATTTTCAAGAAAATGCAAGGGATTTGGCAACTCATGCGTTCTAAGTTAATTCTCGCCTTCTCCATGACATCCATACATTTGTGCAGGAAGAAAATACCCTAAATACAGCCCAAGGAGTTTGCTTTTAATTTTTAAAGTAAATGTATAAATTATTTTATGTGCTTGAGATAAATTGCCAAGAAAATGCACCGCTTAACTTAATTTCCCACCCGGCAAACACAGCCTTTGTAATTAGCTGTGGTATTTCTACCGTCAGACCAACATTTGTTTCTTTTTAGGCCACGGAAAAGTCCCTGTCAGCACAGGAGGACAACTGCCTTGTCTCTCTGTCTTTCAGGCACGGTCATGACCCCCAACTACATAGACTCCAGCAGCCTCAGTGTGGCCCCGTGGTGTGACTGCAGTAACAGTGGCAACGATCTGGAGGAGTGCTTGAAGTTTCTGAATTTTTTTAAGGACAATACGTGTCTCAGTGAGTTTTTTAAAAATAAGAAGCATGCCAACGCATACATGTTTTCCTCTTCGAGCTAAAGCACTCTGTCATGTTCCTCCATCTCCTCCCTCCCTCCCTCCCTCCCTCCCTCCCTCCCTCCCCTTTCCTGGTGGCTCATGGTGACTCTTGCTTCTTTTGGCACACTCAGTGACCCGGCAGGGAGTCTCACAAGTGATGAACTGGGTGCTGCCAAGACTGTGCTCCCAAAGGCCTATGAGGACAAGAGATTCAAGTAACTGAGGGTGTATTATGTGGAAAGAGTAATTCTACTCACAGATCAAATTTTGATCTTGGCAGCCAGTGTAGAGTTCATTCCCAAGTTCTGAAAACCTGGTAGGAATGTACAATGTGAAAAGCTCAAACAAAGTAGATAGGACAGGTCTCCAAGGACTGCGGGGAAATTAGAATGTTGACATATACAGCCCCTCACATTGTGAGGCCTGGCTCCGAGGAGAGGCAATGGATCTACCTTGGTGGGGGGATCTGGCAGTGTGGGGGGTACACTCAGGATGTGGGTTATCTTGGGATCTGAGCTGAGCCCTTGTGAGCAGGGTGCTCTTCTTTGGGAACAGGACTGGTTACTGTTGTGGTACTCTTTAGGCAATTTAGAATCATGTTTGACAAAAGGGATTGGGATATACAGATGTGAACCTGGGCATCCATCAGCAAAACTTACAAAGTAGGACACTAGGTCTCCCTCGCACACAGCTCCATGATGGGTGAGCATGCTCTGGATGACTCTCCAGATGAGAGTCAACTCCTGTTGTAGGGAGTGTAGAGTTCATGCAATTTTATTTTCTGTACTCCACACAAACCACATGAGATCCCTAGGAGATACAGGTATCATATCCATGTGACAGCTGAGTAAAAGAGGAATGTTCTCATGGCCCTGGAGTGGTAGAGTTATGATATAAAGCTTCAATCCTTGTGCAGGCCCCCGCCTCACAAAGACCTTGTGTGTAGCTGGTATTGAAGGAGCAACTGTTAGAAGCATAATCCTGAACATCAGGTTCAGCCATCCCCCTGAAGAACTCTGTCCTCAAGTGATAAATTCTGCATGATGCTATATGCTTACTGGCTTTTGAAGAATTAGCTGGTAATTTACCAACTTTTTGGAAAATAACTCATGGACATTTCACTAAAATTTCTACATCATTTCCTCCATTGAAAAGTAAAACCCAACTTGCTTGATACGTGCTTCAAACAATGCAATTGGAATGCCTTAGTTTGGTTCTTCTAAAAATAAAATGATCTTTTGAGTTGTTAGGTTGCATTCAGACCCACAAAATGTGCCTCGAATGTGGAGGCATTTGCTGAGACTTTGGGTGTGCCAGCATGTTAGAGTTGGACCTCTTGTTTAGGCTTCATTTTATGCATTGTTTTTACTTTTACTTCTTGTACTCTTCTGGTTGAATGCAAGTTTAAGCAAAAATAAAGCAATGGAAAATTTGTTCCTCAGAGAGAAATTAAAGTTGTCCCTCTTTGGCAACATTTCCATAAAGGGGAGAATAGTCTTATTAATGACTTCTAAATAAAAATAAATGCCAAAAGCAGCCAACAGCTTTCATAATCGTTCCATTTATCCTGGTTTGGATGGGGCACAGGACCAAAATGCAGTGTCTTACACAAGGGCCTGACCTAGAAGCTATTACTGTTTTTTGAATGTGACTTCTATGTGGAAACCTTGTTCCTCCTCCCTCCAATTAAGCCAGACTTCCCTCATATCTGTCTACCCTGAACACAGCTGCAACCAGTTGTTTGGCTATAGTTTGGGGATGGGAAATGGTCATTTTAAAGCCGATTCATGGCAGGTAGGTATATAGGGATGAGAGAAGACTAAGGTTGAGGAGGTGAGAGAGGGCTTGTGTCAGGAAAGCAGATGCACCTCCTCCCAGGGGCCTCCCTGAGCCACTTTATCTAGACACCAGCCTCCTTCCTCCAGCATTCCTCCTGCCCCTCCAGGCTTCATTGTCTCTTAGCATTTACCATCACCCACGTGTGGAAGCTTCTGCTTTTTTGCCTTCCTGGCCAGAAGTTCTATTGTGGGTATGGCTTTGGTCTTACTTTGCTGCCACTGCCGTTCAAGACCTCATGCTTAGTACATGGAGCCACACCTGGAATTTAGTAGTTAGATCTAGATCTGTAACCTTTCAGTGAATGAGGAAGAGAGTAACTGAACTCAAAGGGGTGAGGACAGCACACCTGGGAAACAAGGATCGTCTTCACAAACGACAACTCTCTGTGGTGCGTGGTTCGAGTCCCGGGGTCACTTAGGCAACCTGGTCTACAGTTGCCCTTCTCGACGCTCTGTGTAGCACGTAAACCACAGTCCCTCACTAGAACCATGCGCTGCTGCCTTTGTATGTTTGGAAGCTGCCTCTCACAGATCCTGCAAAACGTAGACACACAGAAAACAAGCTTACAATTTTGCTAAACTTGAAGGATAACAATTTTGAGACAAAATGTCACTTCTAAGGGGAAGATTGGGCTTCAGTTATTCTGTCTTGTATATCAAAAAGTGCCAAGTAAGCGTCATATATTAGCAATTTGCACTTTCAGGTCCCAAATGAAGGAGTTTGATTTCTTATACAATGAATATGAAATAAAAAATTCCTAAATCCAGGGCAAATCCCCAAAGACCTGATTAAAAACTGTTTTTTATTCATTTTGGGAAGGGAACAACACAACCAATTTACTCTTGCCATAAAAACAATCTAATCCCATGAAATTATAATAAGCTTTGAAAGTTTCACGTTTCGAACTTTTCATTTAGACAGGGCTGTGCCTATCTAATTATGCAGATTCTGTTTGGAAGACTGGAAGCAGAAAGGAGAAAAATAATCACACTTAAATTTTCAGTAGATATCGATGAAGTTTAAGGCAGATTTTTCTTCTGAAGAAACTGGCTGCAGTTTGCTGCCTGGGTGTGTTAGGGCTGCCTCAGCTTCAGGGGAAAGAAAACGACACCAGTTAATTTTCATTCAGTGTAGAATTCTGACACAGCATAGGTATTTCGTTTTTCTTGGAAAAGTGATGTAGCTATGATGTTACTTCTGAGTTTGAAGATGTCTTTCAAAGGACTCCCTAATAAATACTTGCTTTATGTATAGTAAGTGTCTCGCTCAGTGTTTAATGAATGTGTTGATTTTTGAGCACCTGATCCAAAAGATTGGCTCTCAGAACCAATAATGGGGATGAGTAGATGGGTGAGTGGTTGGGTGGGTGGGTGGGTGGATGGATAGATGGATGGATGGGTGGGTGGGTGGATGGATGGATGAGTGAGTGGGTGGGTGGGTGGACTAAGGTTTGTTCTGGGACATCCAGTGCTGTAACCAGAATTGCTCTTGTACCTCTTTGGCTGTATGCATCCTGCACGTTATGCTTGCTCCTTGCCTCTGAATGGGATTTCCTTTTATTTTACTGCAGAAAATGCAATTCAAGCCTTTGGCAATGGCTCAGATGTGACCATGTGGCAGCCAGCCCTCCCAGTACAGACCACCACTGCCACCACTACCACTGCCTTCCGAGACAAGAACAAGCCTCTGGGACCAGCAGGGTCTGAGAACGAAATCCCCACACACGTTTTGCCACCTTGTGCAAATCTGCAGGTGAGAAGTGGGTCTGGCTCTCCCCTTAAAGCTGGCTTCTGGGAGAACACGTGCTTATCGTCTGAAAGATACACAAGGAGAGGCGGCAGTGCCACCCAGATTTGAATCATTTTTCAAAACAAAATCTTTGCGTGTGCACACATGTTCATATGTTTGATGTGGCAGCCCCATGTGCATGACGAAGTCAGAGTACAACCTTGGTATCAGCCTTCTTCTGCGTGAGCCAGGTTAGTTACGAGCTTTGGGGATTATCTCTGCCTCCCATCTCATTGTACGAGCACTGGGATTCCAGATCCGTGTTACTGTGTCTGGCTTTCCCTGGGTTCTGGGGATCTGTTCTCAGGTCTTCACACAGGTATGGTGAACACTACCTGTTGTGCCGTCTCCCCAGCCCAGATTTGAATCTGGAAGTTGCGTTATAAACATCATAAGAGGAGACTGTGATGTCTCATAGAGTGAAGGAAAGGATGGACTGTGGAACTGACTGCTACTCGCTGAAGATGTGGCTTTGGTCAAGGCTCTATAAAGTGAGGAGTCTGGGCAGATGTACCACTAAGGATTTTTTTTGGGGGGTGGTTATAGAGTTGGGTTGGCTGTCTATATTTTTGGCTGATTCCGTGTTCCTGATAAAGCCACAGCATATCAAAGTGAGAGTGTTCTTGGCTTGTCGCCATCACAACCATTCAAACATGGCATGAAATGTTGACCTGTCTCCGAGGGGAGTCCGAGGCAGTGTTACTAACTGCTGTGTAGAGTCCTGGAGAGGCTAGTTATTTACAAGGCAGAAAGCAATGCTGTTCCAGAGGAAGGGGAATTGCACAGTACCGTGAAAAACCTTACATGTGCATAGAGGACAGTGAAAGTGATCAAGAAACTTCTTAAAGACCAACCCAGGTGTGCCTGCGTTGAAGCAAAGTATAAACATGGCAGTTCCCCCCTTCTGTCGGGGTGTGTTTGTTCTGACATTTTATTGAGTTTCCATAGTAGTGCGTATTCAACTGTCTACAAGACTTTAGTGAGTTGGAGGTTTTCACAGTTCTAATGCACTTAGGTTCCTTGGGTGCTCTCCTGGTGGCTGATGGGTAAGGGCAATGACTGTGACACGGTGGTCTAGCTCTTGCATCTGAGGACCTGGGCTTCTAGAAAATGATGTTTCTATTCAAGTGTGCAGAGCTGGTGGGTCACAGAAGCTGGGAATCCAAGAATGGCATCTGTCCATGGTTGTTCCTGTATGCTGAGGGAAGAGGTGACTATATGGTGGCTTGTGGTAATACATGGTGCACCCCAATAAAACTTACCTGGGGGTCAGAGGACAGAGCCAGCCACTAGACTAGACATAGAGGCCAGGCAGTGGTGACACACACCCTTAATCCTATCACTCGGGAGACAGAAATCCATCTGGATCTCTGTGAGTTCAAGGCCACACTGGGACCAGAGCCAGGCATGGTGGCACACACCTTTAGTCCCCACACTTGAGATCTCATGCCTTTGCTTGGGAAGCACACACGCCTTTAATCCCAGGAAGTAAAATGGCAGGGCAGAAAAGGGTATATACGGAAACAGGAACCGTATATACCTTTAGACGGAGGGTTTCCTGGAGGTGAGGTAATGGCAGCAGCAGTTCAGCTGGGTCCCATTCGGGTGAGGACTGAGGCTTTCATTCTGAGGAAACAGGATCGGCTGAGGGGTTGGTGAGGTGAGGCTAGCTGTGTGTGGCTTGTTCTGTTTCTCTGATCTTTCAGCCTTCACCCCAATATCTGGCTCCAGGGTTGTTGTTTTTTTATTAATAAGACATTTTAGGAATTCGTGTTATAGTGGCTCCTGTCTTCTGCCATGCCAGGAAAAGGGGTGATTGGTTTATTTGCTGTTGTTTTGATTGTTACAGGGTCTCATGTGACCCTTACTGACCTTAAACTTGCTATGTAGATAGGGGGCTTATCAGCATGTGCCACCATGCCTGGTGCATGCAGAGCTGAGGTGGAACCCAGGACTTGGTGTGTGTTACTCACAAGCCATTGTGACGGGACCTCACTCGTAGCACAAAAGTGCCTCTCCTCTTCCTCCTCCCCGGCAAGGCTCAGCCCCTCTGGAGCATTCTTAGGAATGCCTTCTTCATCCACAGGCGCTGTGTCTGGAAAGTGCTGAGCGGTTTGCCCATCTACTTTGTAAGACACTGCTTTGCTCTCAGCGCCCTTCATCTGAGCTTTGGCTTCTGTCTGCTTGGTCCTTCTGGGTCCTCATTCTCCAACACACAGTCTGAGGCAAACTCGTTCACACCAGACAGTGGGGAGAAATCAGATCACACAGCTCAACAGCAAGCCCAGTGTCCTTTGGATTCGTGAACCACTTTCTGAGCCTTAGCACCTCCAGGTCCCCCTCTGCAGAGAAAGTCAGCTGGGAGGCAGCGCAGGGCGTGGTCAGTGGCATCTACTGCTCCATTCTGCAGCAGGGCCCTGAGTCTGAGAGAAGAGAAGGGATTGGTTGAGTCTCCCAGACTGGTGACTCTGACATTAGAAATGGCACGGTCAGTGTCTTCTCCGGTTCTGGTCAGGGCTCTGGCCCTGTCTCTCCCGCTTCCTGCTGCTCACACACACAGTCAGCCTTGGCTCTCTGTGCTGCCCACCCTCAGACTCCAGTGTCAGTCAACACAGCCACCAGATGAAGGATAAGACCTTGCCGTCACGCCCTGATGAAGATGGGCCAGGGATGCTTTCTGGTCAGTGAGGAAGGGGACTTGGGATTCGGCAATAACATTCTGTACACATTTGGACACACGAAGGGTGACTCAGATGCCACCTACAGTCTGTTACTAACTTTCCTCTGACTTAAAAACTGTGTAGACCTGAATATTGGAGAACTGAAACAGAAAGTCACTCCTCAGTGAACAGAATCTCATGGGCAAAGATGCAGCTTGCCCACAGTTTCAGAAGGTCAGATAGGGTCACTAGGTGACACCTCAGATTGGAAACCACGGCACTCCAGTTTCCTCATCCTTTGGGTGGAGACTCTCTTAGCCATAAAATGTGTCCTCTGCTTCTCCATTCTTTTCCTTGTCTTATCTCAGCTCCTGACTTGGGTTCTGGTAGTGAACATCTTATCTCCAGTACGGATATTCCCAGCCTACCCTCCCTGCCAGGAAGACTCTGTGCCGCTGCACAGTTGTCCTGGCAACGCTAAGGCACACCTGAGCCTCACTCACTCCCCAGAAACCAGGCCTTTCCATTCCCTGTGTCCGCATAGCAGTTCTGCTTTATAAGCAGAGGAACAAAGGTAAAATTCAAGCGTGATGTTTATCTCAGGGTTACCTCTGTTGGCTTCTCCTCTGAAAGGGCTGAAAGAATTGAATTGGCCAGGATGGAGGGCAATCACACTTCTCTTCTGAGATACATGGTAGAGTTTAGCAGCATTCGGCATCTGGGAGAAGAGGTCTGGGGTTTCACTGAACCTGTCTTTACAGCTGAGGTGAGGGTGTTAGCGCTGTGGCCTTAGCCAATGTGCTAACTCTTTAAGCCTCCTCTTCCTTGTCTGGTGAGCATGAGTGTTGCCTAGCTGCTAGAGTAGAGGCAGTGGTGCAGAATGGATGCTCCAGAATGATGTGCAGAAATGACCATCGTGATGACTGAGCTTTAGGTGGTCACATGATCTGCCTGTTACAAAGATGAATGGTGGCGCTGGGCCTTGCTCCAGAATGAGGGTCTGGGGTGTGCTGAGGAGCACTGATGTGAGAGACATGGCAGGTGGATAGTAGTGCATGTCACACTTCCAACTATGCCCCCCTTCTATCCCCTTTCTCCCCAGAGCACCTCTGGGGCAGGCATTGCAGGCATCCTTTGCTTTCACAAAGGAGATGCTCAGAGGATAATGACTTAACCAAAATCGGCGTCTTTGGCAGGCTCCTCCCGAGGCTAGAGTATCTTTTTGTCTCATTTTGTGACACTTGGACAACTAAGCCTTTCTACATGAGGAATGGAAGTGAGGAAAGAAGGAAGGGTAGCTGCCCTAGTTCCTGCTGAAGGTCAGCCCTGGGAATGCAGCGGCAAATCTAAAGTTCATACTTCACTCAGGGCGGCTCCTGGCTCCAGGTCCAGGACACGGGGTTCGGACGACTGAAAGTTTGCCAGTGAGAGTTGTGTAGCTTGATGACCTCTTTAGGGTGACCTACATGAAGAATGCTGAAGGATGATTCGAGGCCGTAGTTGGAGGCTGGTGACAGTGACAGTGGAGACCGTCACCCTGAGAACACGGTCCCTCTGGCTGATTTAGGGCTCTGCTCAGTGCAGGGCTCCCAGGAGGCTCATTCTCTGCCTCTGCCTTGCCTCTGTGCCTGCCTGGCTGTAGATGAATTGCCATTTTCCAGGGGTCCTAGAAATATCTTCTAATGGTGTTTGTCCCTGCTGCCTGTGTCGTGACTCAGAATAGAACTGACTGAAACCAACTTGGGATCCATTGGTAACAGATCTGGAGACAGTCAAAGACTTTGGCAGCCTTAAAGTTCACTTCCTTCGAGACGCGCCCTCTTGTAATATTTTTAAATACACAATAACATGAGAAGACTCGGGGGGGGGGTACTGCAGAGTCTGCCTTAACATTTGAGATAGACTCCCCCGTGGGAGGAAAGGAAAAGAATAAACATTTTTTTCGAAAGCATGCCTAGAACCAACAGCAGATCTGCCTGGGGAATGGGAGGCCCTGGGCCTGGTGATCATGGGCTCATGGGTGGCTGCTGTGGAAGTCTCTAAAAAAGTTGATTGATTAGTATCAAATGTCAAGGAAATGTCCCAAGTGCTGGCCCCCTGAGGTGAGAAAACACTGGGTTTGGGGTAGCCTGCCAAGCTCCCGTGGCAGGATTAATTGGCATCATGTAGTAACAAGCATGACGCAAGCCCTGCTATTGATAGCCTCTCTCTCTGACTCGTAAGAAACGGTCACACGAGAAACAAAGAAACCTTAATAATTCCCCAAATTACTTCATCATCTGTACACTTGAGTGGCCTGGCAGC